TCCAGTGATATTGTTTTAGCAACAATCATCACAAGTTTTGCAATTTCAGATACTGATATAGTCACCAATATCTTTTTTATCTAATCGTTGCTGATAATAGCAGTATAATTTCTAGTATCCGTTACTACAACCTTCAAAGTGATAATTACTTCTTTCACTGTTACAAAAAAATGATCTACCTCATATAAAGACCATTTTTGTTTACTATGGATCTTAGTCATTAATACAGTTGACAGACGATTAATCACAATTTAACTTCTTTCAAAAATTTTTCAGAAACTATGCAGCTTAACAATCTACTTCCAAGATCAAGATGATCAGCATGTTGTTTACCTAAGCTTTGCAATATATCAATATCATGTAATTATCATTAATTCTACTTAAACAAAAATCAACAAATTTTGACTTTGCAACTCATCCTGGCTACAGTAACTTCAAGACTTCTTTTTTTATAATCAGCATAGCTTGAAATAATTGTGTATAGGTTATGTTAGCTTTTTTATTTTAAAGATCTGATATTATTAAATAAGCTTGAATACTGACTATTACAGATAGGTTGATTAGTTTTGTTCTTTTTTTCTTTTTGATCTTTGCCTTTTTATTCATATGATCTAGTTTTTTTATTACTTCATTTTGGGACAAGGCCTCAATTTCATCCAGATTTTCATTATTTTTTTTGTTGTCTCTTTGCCAAGTAAGCCACTTCGATTTTTTGTACTGAGGAGTTTTTTGATATTAACACACACTCACACTCCAAAAATGCATTGTCTAGTTTAAATACCAGAACTCATTTTCTATTTGGGCTATCATAGCCTGAGCTTGCAGTTTATTACTAGATGAATTGCTAATATTATTCTTAACATGACTTTGATTATTAAAATTTGGGGTTTGGGGACTATTTCTATGGTCATTATCTCATCAGCTTAAGCTGGAGTATTCACTTGCATAATAACTAGATTGTTGGCAAGAGAAACATATAGGTCCATGACCACTTCTATCTTAACAGCTTATATTAGCAGCAGAACAAATATTGTTATTATAATTATTATTGGGCTGTCTTTAACCGCTATTGCAACTTCCTAAAGCAATGAAATCATTTGACCCATTTTACTTTGAGGGATCATATAGAACAGTAGACTTGTCAATTGTGCTTGAGATTGAAAAGACACCAGCTGTAGCATTGTTACTAGTGATTGTGATTAAAAAGATATTGGTGACTATATCAGTATCTGAAATTGCAAAACTTGTGATGATTGTTGCTAAAACAATATCACTGGA